AATTATTTTTTTTTGATTCTGACAAATTTCCTGAGGAAATTCTTTTGAATGCTAAGCAACAAAAATTAGTTGTGAAAATATTTTTATCTATAAGAAATTACTAATTTATGTCAGAAAGTAAAGGATCGTTTTAACATTTACTGTACATATTGTAATGCAAACAAGTCTAAACTCACAGAAAAATATTTTGTTATTCTTTTTAGTATTTCTATTTATATAGTGTTTTACTGTGATAAAGATTTGAGTCAATCCTAACAGAGTATAATTCCTTTATTTAGAGTTTCAAATGAAGAAAAAAGAATCAATTTATTTTCAAAATATTCTGCCAATACATTAAATTCTTAATTTAATTTTATTATATTTTCTCCACAGACCAACTCAAATCACTTCTGCTGAAACACAGTGGTCAAAGTCCACAAAGGTTCAGACTGAGCCTTCATCAAATTCTTCCCATCAGTCTTCAGAAAGTCAACACCCTCACAAAATTCAAAATAAAGTTAAAATTTCTATGTCAAAGTCATGGAATATGTCTTGGCTGGGTTGGGTCAGTAAAGGTGATATCTTTGTTGATTCAGTGTTTTGCATTATTTTCAGTCCAAAGCTGCTATACTTAGGTATTGAGACTTTTATTAAAGGAACTTCCAATGTGTAAAAAGACATAGCAATGACACATAAACAAATAAAAAGCATACATTTTTAAGGAGTCCACCAAGGCAATTTTTGTCTGCCCCTATCTTAGGCTAAATTCATCCCTGAAAAGGTCAAATCAAGATTTGACCACAGGGTGCAGTGGTTATACAAAAAAAGTCCCCCTCCCAAAAAAAAAAAAAAAAACAACTGGTTTGAATCAGCCACCTAGAAGAAAAGTGTTCCTACAAAAATAGATTAGCCTGACAGGTTTGTTCATTTTAACTTCTGTGGCATTCATCAAAAATTTTTATATCAGATATTAATTCAGATTCCTTTGGATACGAGTGATAAAGAAAAATTAATTACTAACCCTGGAGTGACCATACCGGCCAGCTGAGCAGTTGAGTCAATTGAGAAACAACTAGCATGGGTCAAACTGATAAAGAAAGACTAATGACTGAAAATCACCCTTTTTTTCCACTTACACATTAATAAAGTTTGGATTTGTCACAAGATGGTGAACCAGCCCTTGGAGCAGGCTGAGGTTAGATGCTGAGAAGGTGGGAGAAGGAAGAGAGAGAGATATCACCTATATAGAGCAAGATGTGAAGGGAGTGGGAGCTAAGGGGCAGCTTGATTCCTCTGACCACTCTCAAAAGGGGGCTAGACAACCCCAAATTTAGAAGACCACTTGAGTATATATATTTTGAGAATTTGGAATTTTAGAAAAAGGTTGATGCTAAAGGTGGAAGACAACTGTACCCAGACCTTAGTTAACCACACGCCTACTGGATACAGGACTCCATATAAGCTGGAAGTTTGGACAACATGTAGAGTCCCCACATTACTGCTGCTGGAATCCACATCACTTGCAAAGACCTTGTGCCAACCCTGAAGACCAAAACTTAAAAATTTAAGTTACTGATAATACAAGATGTAGACTCTAAAGGGGATCCCAGTGTCATTTCATTATAACAGTAAGTGGCAAGGGTTAAAACCACTGTATAAAACCAAATCATAGTTACATTTTTAACCAGAGCTAATTCATTATTCCAAAGGATTCTTTTTTTGCATATCTCCAAGCTGTTGACCAGGCTTCACTTTAGTTTGCCTCATGAGCAATTTTCTAACCCTCTGAGATAAAAAACACAACATGACAGAGGAGTGAATGATCATGAACAGACAAATGCCAGCTAAGTCAAGTGGAACCATGCCCATCATCATGATGCCAGGGACAAATGAGTCATGCGTTAACAGGTGAGGAGTCAGCTAGGTAATAATCACAGTGGTCTGAAGGAAGTTGACGACCAATGTGGGGCATAGGGCTATTATTATTGGTTACTGTTGACCAGGATTGACTCATGGTGTTACAGTTGTTGCTTCTCTTCCAAATTTTCCCTGGAAGAGATTTTCTATTGTTTGGATGCTGCTATTGTTGTGGAGCAGGAAACAGAAGAAGTTGAGATTGTGTATAAAAAAGAGATTTTGAAGAATGGAGATGTGCATGAATCTGGTTTGTCTTTTTAAGGAAAGACAGGATAGTTGAGAAGGCCATTAACTCCATTGGCTTGGCCTTGATAGTATTGAGGACCAATATTAGGACCTCACTCTTTTCCCTGCCTCTTGGGTTACTGATGCAGCTTTCTTTAGCAGTGATACAATGACATAGTCTCTACTCTGGATATATGTGAATTGCCAAAATAGGAACCCAGTAGTAACTGAGGAATTGCTACCTGAGCCTTCCTTCTACCCTTCCTTTTGGTGATGGAGAAGTTTGGGAAAAGGACTCACAAATATGTGTTCTTGTGTCTGGTTGGATTTTCCAGCCAAAGATGGTTGAAGATATTAGGGTTTTCTTTTCCACAGGGTGAGGTCAGCATGTGTGACAGTGTCCTTCTTCTCTGGGCAAGCTGTGTAGAAGGAATCTCTAGTTTTCTTCACATATAATGACTGGTAGTTTTCTTTAGTATTTCTTCAATTAAGCCATTGTGCCTTTCATTCAGGCCATTTCCTCAATATTTTTTCAGACGTATAGATTCATATTTACATTCAGCATATTAGAGATGACCATATTCCATCTACTCAACCCTGTACTAGTTATTTAAAGTGGAGATCAGCTTGTGCAAACTGGGTTCATTCTTTAGGTTTGTGACCTTCCTTGGTGGTATAGCAAGCTAAGATAACAAATGTGATTGACAAGTTGTAGTTTTTTTTTCTGTCAGGGTAACCTTCTCTTAGATGAAGTGTCTAGAGTTGAGGGACTCTTAACTGATCTAGAATTTGCCAATAGCTGGACCTAGCATCAGTGTGTAACCTTTAACTCAATACAGTTGCATTAAATGTACAGGAGATTATTTAGACAAGTGAATATATATGGTTGTGAAAGAGCAACAAAGTCCAATCTATAGTTTACTGCTTCTCCATGCAGAAAAAGTTTCTTTTCCCCCCATAAATATTAGGTCTTTCAGTGACTCTGACCCTGAAACCTATAAAACAAAAACTAAAGAACACCATCAGTTTGCAAAGTCTGCTTAATAATTATGTTCTCTCTTGCTATTTCATAAATAAAACTATATAATTCATTAAAAAAAACAAAAAAACATACATTATTACATTATTTGACAGCAATACATTTCCTTCAGGCTTTGGAAGAAATAAAACAGTATTAGCTGATAAATTATGTTCAATCAAAAAAAATTGATTACTATTGGAAAATAGAAAATATTTTATATTTCTAATATTTCTGATGTGAAATAATTAAATTCTTTCAGTAACAATTTCTACAATACTGTATTTTATTAAACAAAATTAAAGTTATTTTACTTAAAAAATTATAAATCAGCTATATATGTATATATAAATAAAAGGAAAGAACAGTAAGATATATAATCCGGTGTTCTTATTGATATTTTTATTTTTACAAAATAGTGCTCAATGTAAATTTACAGAGCATTAATATTATAAATTAACTGATTTAAAATATGGTTTTTTTTTTCGCTACACAGTAATAACTATGTTTCAAAAATGGAAGCTAAAAGCTTCAAATTTAATTTTGTAATTAAATTAAAAACATTAGTTCCATTTCATCCTTAAGCGAATTTTGGAGTAACTTATTTTTTAAAGGTACGGAAAAATTCATAATTCACTGTTTCCAAGGATACAGAAAGATACAATCATTCAGACAAGGGGTGGTAGTGTGTTCATTTTTATTAACTTTTGCTGTATCAGTTATTAGTTACGTTCGAAAAAGGTGTTATGTTTAGGTAGGGTAGGGTAGGGATATATTTTTCAACGAATTCTGACATCCGTTAAATGCATGTCATCTGGGGTTTTTAAAAAATTTTTATTGTTAATGGCAAAAAATTCTTATGGCATTTTTTCTATTTGTAAACTTAAAGATTTTTTTGGGATGTTTAGGTTAGAATACATTTTATTTAACTATAATTTTAAAATATTTTCACTTTTAATAGACTATATTATTTCTTTTAAAACAAGTAAATGTACTAAAATTACTTACAGTATATAAAATTATTTTTTCATATCAAGTATAAGTATGTATATTACCAGGTTACATTTTTTTTTTTTAATTTTATTTTTAAATATTATTTAAGGAAAATTTTTGACAATAACGGCAAAAAATAGCTAATTCATTTCTCTGATTCAGTAAACTTTTATTTTTTATAAAGTTAGTAATATATAGTTTCTCATGTATGTACAAAGGACATGGATCATTTAATGGCCTACATATTCTAGCTTTTCTTATTAATTTCATTTTACTGTAGGTGTTTTATTGGATTCTTTTAAGTGCTAGAAGTACTTTGAGAGAGATGTTTAGGTTAGAATACGTTTTATTTAACTACAATTTTAAAATATTTTCACTCTTAACTTTAATAGACTATATTTCTTTTTAAAACAAGTAAATCAGCTATATATATATATATATATATATATATTTTAAATAAATTCAAATACTAAATTAAAAAGAAAAATATTTTTCACCTTATAATTTTATAAATAATTTGTTTGCTTTTAAAATTGTAAATTATGAATAGGTCTTTTAAATATAGTCATACATTTTGTAATAGAGAAAGGATCAATTGATTTTATATGTATAGTTGATATATTCTGTAAGTCCATTAAGAGAATTTATATTAATTGCAACATTAAATTTATCTAAAATATTTTATTTAATATACATAATTACGATCAAGTGTAAAATGTGTAAGTTTTAGGAAGAAAATGCTTTCTCTATGCTCTAATTTAAAAAACATCTTGCTTAATAAACAGTAATGTTAATATCTAAACTAAGGACATATTCTGACCACAAAAAAATCAAATTAGAAATCAGCAAATAACGACATAATACTTACAGGATCAGAAAATTCAGTTGCTTGTGGATATGCATTAAATGCGGCTTGTTCATTTGTGGCAAATAAGTGAATATAACCTAAAAAGAACATTTAAATTAAATGTGTGAACTTAAGACTTCTAAGTCATAAACAATTTAAATAAAATTATTTTCAGAATTATTAAATTGACCACATTATTAAAATGACCATTATGCTAAATAGAAATTTTACAGAATAACAATTGCACAAACTTTAATATTTGGGGTATATTTTATTTTCATAAAACCATCAAGAACTTTATAATATTAATATGGCACAAAACAGGCAATATTGATGTTAAATACACAGATGAAAATGAAATAATAATAACCAATATTTATATTCTCTAAAGGATGACTTGATTATTTGAAATCTGCTGAAAATTACTCAAGAGTCACTTATATAAAAAAAACAAGTGAAATTAATAAAAATAAGAAACTTGCCTTTTAGCTTTTTTTCTTTCTTAAAAATTAAAATTATCAAGCTAAGCGAATCTTAGCACCTAAAACAGGACATCACTGAGCCAAAGCATTATAGAGTATTTGATAAACCTGATATTTCTGCTTACCGAGTCAGTGCTCAAGTAATAAAAGCATTAACTTCATCTTGATCATTAAATTTAAGTAAACAGTATCTATTTTGATAAAATATTCAAATTTTTAAATGAAATATATATAGATTTAAATAATATATAGATTTTTTTAATTTTGTAAAAGTTAAAAATACCCCTTCATGTGAGTACAACCTTTTAGTGTGCAATTTTAAACCTGTAATCTCTATTAATGAACTGTGAAAAATTATTAATTCAGTTTAAAAAAATATGAATTTTAAATGTTATATAGTAACCAAGAAAATATACAAAATATCTATGCCATATATCATTACTGCTTTAACATCTGACAGCATAGATTCAAAAATATATTCCTCAGTTAATGTAATTATAAATCACACAAACAATATCAAATCTTTCAATTACATATATAAACACCTTCTAGACTTGAAATGCTTTCAAGAAAACAAAACATCATGTAGCTGCTATTAGATCAAATTCAGTGGAACCTGTCCATATCAAATTTTTTTGGCAAAAAATTGGGAATCAATTTATAGATGAATAGTTTCAGTAGGTTGAAACTCATGACATGAAACATATTCACAAGTTACTACCAGTAAATAAAAATATCAAATATGTATTAATTAGTAAATAAAATCTATGTAGTGCCATCAGTAGTGAAAAGTTAGCAAAATTATGACAAAATAAAAAGATTTTCACCCACCATTCAATGTTCAAAGGATGTTACTTTTTTTTACTAGTTTTTAATTGAAATACTTATTTATTACACTGATATTTTATTGATACTGCACTTGAAACATTAATGAAAATATTGTGTTAAAATGAAGTACATATTTTAGTTGGAAGGAGAATGAAATCAACTTTTACTTTCTTCTCTTCTTCAAAAGACATTTTTGTAATTGCATTTGAATAGTTTTCATTCAAAAAAAATTTGATGCATAAATACTCAAATGAAAATATATAATATATTTGCTGAAACATTCTGTACTTCAGTGTAAAGGGCTATAAACATTTTGCTAAATATTTTGCCTCAGTGATTTTCAGGTTATAGAACACAGGGATTTTTTAATAAGAGTTTCCTGTTACATGTTTTATTTATACCCTATAAAATATGATACTTTGATAATCTAATTTGTTCTTTCAATACTCAAAAAGTGGGTCAACATTTATGCAATCATTACTTGGTCAAAATATGCTCAGTAATAATTTTTAAAACTTTTAACAAAAGCAATACATATATAGCATATATACAAAGTTAAAGTACCTGAACTATCTCCAAAGGCCATATTTTGACAGTTTGAGGAAATATCAAAACTTAACACAACACCACCTTGAGTGTTAACTTGATATAACATCATGGATGATGGTGTGACAGATGTTGTATCCAATACTTGAAAGTGGCCCACCTATAATTGAAAATAAACAGGCATAGGGAATGCTTTTAAATGGCACAAAAATTACTTTAGAACAAAATTCAAAGATAAATATTTAAATAAGTCATTATCTTGAAGAAATTTAGGTACAAATTTTAAATTTATATTGTTTCTGTGAAATTTCAAATTCAATGAAAAACGTGAATAAAAATTTTCATGAAATTTTAGTGTTAAAGGATAAAGGCTTTATTATTAGTTTATCAAACCAACTAATTGTGAGCTTAAGCTTTATCAAGAAGAGTCAAGAAATTATTTGGGCAGATGAATATTGAATTTCAATAAATTGTGAAAACTTGTGTTGCAAATCAAAATGTACATTTCACTTCCATTTGTGTCTTTTTTAAATACAAATATTTATGATTAGGAATATTTTTATAAATTATATTGCAACATATGTGAAAATAAATATCTGATTATTCAGTTATACTTACTTGAGATACAACGCACAATTTATTTGTGTAAGCTGGAATAAAACGCAAGAATGTTGGATCTACAACCACTTTAATTGGCGCCATAGCACGTATGAAACGTAAGTCATACACCATCAGATAACGGTCTGGGGCAAGATTTCCCATTCTGAATAAACAATTTAAAAAAAAATTGACAAAAACTACCAAATATCTATTCAAAAACTTGAGTTAGAAAAAAGTCTTTTCTTTTTAAATATATTCTTCATATTCCTAATGTTCAAAAGCATTTAAGAAACCATAAAAAAATGTTTATTTCTTATAGCTTTAAAGTTTAATCTTAAATATGATAATAAATGAATAATTATTTTTGTAACTGTAGAAACTACACAGACAATAAAGTATTTGGCTACTTAAAAAAGATTTAATATGCTTCAACAGTAGAAATTTAAAATTAAAATAACAGAATATTTTGAAGTGAATATTGAGAATAGGAAGAAAAATAAGCCTTAGTGAATGAAAACAAGATTCTTATATGAAAAACAAAAATGGTAGTAGAAAAAAGAATTCAAATAGAATTATATGAAAAATGATACAACTCTGAGACTCTATCAATCAATGTAACAAGTTCAAATGGATATGGTCATTACTACATAAACTGTTAAAAATTTGTTAATATGATTTAAAAATATAACAAAATGAAAGAATTAAACAACACTGAATGTTTAAGATAAAGGAACATTGCTCAGTGTCCAAATCACTGGAAAATGTTAGAAATCACCAAAAAATATCCTACAAAGTGATGCTACAAATAAAATATAAGTATAATCACCCAGAAAAATATATGAGAAAGAGAAATAAAATCAATGACTATCCCTAAATAACCATAAAAATATTTAAAAGCATTTATAATATGGGTTATCAAAATAACTACAGGATTAGTTTCATATTCAATGAAAAAAATCAAGTTCACATCCACACATATTCTTGTGATATGTTGCATATTGCATAATGTTCATCAAATTCCACAGTTTTATTTAAGGCAATATAAATAGCTATGAACTAGACGCAGTTTTTGACTTAAAGTCAGAGCATTGGATAGACATAATTTTAGCCGAATATTACAAATAACCAAGGTAATAGCGAACATATAATAAAGGGATGCAAGGCTCACAGATGAACACTTGAAATATACTCACCTGAGGGACCATAGCTAGAATCTTATGCTCTTGATTATTATTTAGAATGAGTGGGCTAATATTCGTGTGAAGGGTTAGTTAAGTCATATAAAACATGTTACTTGAACAGATAATACAAACGTTTTACAATATTAACAATATTATATTCATGTGCTGAAATATTTTTTAACATTAATTTTGTTTTATCATACATAATTCTGTATACAGCCTAAATTTGTTGAAAATATTTTATTTGAAAATTATATTTTAAAATATTTTTATCAATATTAGTGAAAGAAAGTAAGAATCTTTGTAAAAATTTTCTTGATTTTAGAATAAGGATCAACAGCAAATGTATTTGTGTGGTATTGAAAATATTTTTGGTTAGAGTAAATTAGAAACAGTTCAGGATTATTTAATGCTGAAGAAAAGATAATATAAAATAGGTAATGTTTATTATGAGGGCAGAAGTAAATGAAAGTGAATGGGATTAAATCATGGCAAATTACCAAAGTTCTGGCTTTAGAAATAAATGCTTATTTAAAATATTTTTTAAAGCAGTCTTTTATGAGAAAAGACTTTATACTGATTTATGGAAAGTTCAGTTGTAAAAGTGTTAGATAGAATATGTGGCAATGTAATAGAAATGCTATCTCCCTATCTATGCTCCCCTATTTTTAATTATCAGGTCTTGTTTTTTTTCCAAATAGACCAATGTATGCCAGACCAAAGGTTTTAGCAATCCAACCACACATTAATAAATACTAAAACTGATCAGACTTTTTATACATAGTCATTTGATGAAATGGCTCCCAATACATAGGATTAACACCCATAAGGAATGGAATATTTTAATTAATGTCTAATCTTAAGTTAGGCTAATTTCAGATCAGAAATAAAACATTTTCATTAAGATTTATGTCTAAGAAAAAAGTATTTAGAGAACTGAGTTAAATATACTTTCCAACTATGTAAACATTTTTGATAAATCTTATAAATGATTTTTATAAATTTTACAAAAGAATTGCATAAAAGTCATTACAATTCATTTTTAGAAATAATAATTAGGCAAAAAATCAGTATCTTTCTGATAAATATAATTTTTTCAAAGATATGATTTTTAATTCCATATAACTAAAAAGAAATTCTTTATATTCAAAGAACTTAAGCAAAATAAGTGCATATCATATTGATACAAATGAAACCTGTTCCTTTTGAATAGAGAAAGAAACTGTACAGTTTATAAACCATGAACTGACTACTCAACAGATGTCTTGAATCACCTCTGAAATTGTTAGCCTCAAAGTAATATACTCCATAATATTTTAAATGTTTGCATTGTGTAATGATATTACTAGTGATTCTTTGAATTTTACCATGGAATTTATCTGAAATAAAATAGGTTGAAATTTAATGCTAAGTCAATGTAAAGATACTTTATATATTTCTTAACATTAGACACCAACTAAAATATGTTAATATAGACAAAAGCATTCATAATTCAACTCAAGACATATAACTAATTTTCTAAAACAATTATCAACTGATAGAACAATGACTGCATTTAGAGGGAAGTTTGATTTCAAGCTACATCCATAACAAAAAAACAGTTCACTATTGGCCAAATTGTCTCTCCTTCCTTCAATTTGGATAATTGTAACTTGTTAGAACAATTGTTCACAATTGCCTGAATATTGTGTCAGTTATAATTTGCCATTTCTATCAGAAGCTGATTTAAGGCTTTCTTATAAAAGCTCAGCAACTTATATAAATTAGTGTGCATGTCTTTTATTAACAAACCTGCAGAAAAGACTCAAAATACAATGTTGTCTAATTATAGTGAAACCCATCTCCCAGGAATATTAAGTTTAGAAGTGAAAGAAATCACTTTGCAGTTAGGACTAATAAAAAAAACTGTCAGTGAAAAAATTACACCTCTAATGGGAGCAATTTTTATTGTTTCAAAATAGAAAATAGGATGCAGAATCCTTCGAGTCAAGAATATTTTTGTAATGCTTTATATATGAAAATATAACAACAAACTTGATTTTTAATCAATTAATTTACCTTATATAATACTGGGGCATTTGCATGCATTGAAGTTGAAGTTTATGGCAGAAATAAAAATTATCTACTGTATACCTCAGCAGTTTTTCCAACAATACACACAGCACAAACACACACTCCTTATATATATATATATATATATACACAACAAAAGTTAATAAAAATGAACACACTACCACCCCTTGTCTGAATGATTGGATCTCTCTGTATCCTTGGAAACAGTGAATTGTGAATTTTTGTGTGCATTTAAAACTCAGTAAATTTAAAAATAAGTTACTCCAATATTCGTTTGAAGATGAAATGAAACTAATGTTTTTAATTTAATTACAAAATTAAATTTGAAGCTTTTAGCTTCCATTTTTGAAACATGGTTATTACTGTGTAGCAAAAAAACATATTTTAAACCAGTTAATTTATAATATATATATATATATATATATATATATATATATATATATATATATATATATATATATATATATATATATATATATATATATATATATATATATATATGTATGTATGTTAAAAACTCCATGAGGCATAAAATTAAAAATACCTGTTAGAGTAACCACAAGTAACAAGCAGGTTACCATCAATGTCAAAATCAGATAATGTTCCTGTGTGTGCATCAAGAACATGTTCAGCATTTAATGTACTGTGGTCGTAAAGAGTAATCTGAAACAAGAAACATATTTGAAAAGTAAATAATTAGTTGAGATGTTTTTCAATAAAAACATTTGTTTTTTGTTTCATTGGAACTCATTTTTAAAACAAATTATTCATTTTTGTACTATGTTAGATTTTATTATGTAAGTCAATGTTTTCACAGTAAAATAGATATTTGGCACTGACTTGCATAATAAAATCTGACACCGTGTATGCATGTCATAAATGTAAACCTACAAATAACTGATGAAATACTTAAAAATACCTTACCATACTACATAGCAATATTTACATGTAACTAAAAGAACATAATTTCTTAAATATGCTACGCTGGAAAATTTACAGAAATTAATTTGTGGTAAAAATAAAATAGCCACTGAAAACCTGGTAACCAAACTGAAGAATCTAAAGAAATAATAGCAAACTTCCAATGAAGAAAGCTTCTACATACCCATAAATCATAGGTTTAAAATAATTATTTTGTAATTTTGTTTAAAAAATTATTAATTAACTAAAATTTTGCTCCAGTATCTTCAAGCAGATTTAGTTACATTTTTAGTATTTTCAAAACAAATTAATATTTATATGAAAAAACAAGAATGTATTTATCATCGTTTCGATGTGTACCAAGTTCAATATTTACTGGGTGTCCAACTATTGTGGTCCTGTGTTAATTTACTACACTTAGTAAATATTTATGGGTGCTGCCTCATGGAGTAATGATTAGCTATTTGATGTTTCCGACCATGATTGAATTGTGAATTCAATGAGGTAGCTTTGTGCCAAACTAAGTAAATAACTATATGAAAGAGCAATATATTTAATTTTTAGTTGAAAAGAATCTAAATTTGAATTTTACTGTTTCTTCTTTTATGGAAAATGACAATGTTTTTATATTGTATAATATTGGGGACTTAAAACCTTAGGTTATAAAGATTTGCTTAATATATTGCATTTTATAGAGCAATTGACAAAACAAGTTAGCTATTATTTCTCATTCCTGTTACTAATGATATTTTCTATTTCATCAGTTTTTTTTTCAAAATTCTCTTTTTTTTAATTAAAAATAACTTTATATAAAAAGACATTTCATCAAAATTGAGCTTTGTTCTTTGCTTTTCAAATACTACAAGATATGTATGTTGACCATTATAAATATTTAAAAATTTTTTTTTTAATCATTTCACTATAAGCAAGGTGATAAAGCCACTAAAACACAAGGATTAGAGATTGGAAGAAACTGAGAAAACATTGAGTAGAGAAAGGACATCAAAAGACAAGGATTCAAGAAGACAGATGATGATTGACATTACATTTAAATTTTTGACAGAGAGTAAAAAACCAGAAAAGTGTTTCCCAAGCAAGAAGTGTGCGAGCAAAACCCATTAGTATAGAACTTATACTTAGCAATTTCAACAGTAAAATGATGATAAAACAACAGCACAAGATTCAAAATTCTTATCTAAAGCTTGACAGACTCTTTCAGCAATAACTATTAACACATCAACAATTGACCTAGAGAAGTGAAAGCCATATTGTTTATCTGAAATAAGAACCAGTGAGGTGAAATGCTTAACCAATTCAGAGTTAATTAGAGCCTCTAGTATTTTGCTAAAAAGAAGTTGAAGCTTAATAGGTCAGTAGTTTGAAGGATCAGACAGTTCACAAGAAATCTTAAAAACAAGACTGAAGAGAATTTCCAACAAACTGGAAAGGAAGAAGCAACAAAACATCTATTATAGAGCTTAGAGAGAACAGAAGCCTGTTCAGGAGCTACATTTTTTAGGACAATTGCAGGGATTACCATTGAATTTGTATGCTTTGTGGAGATTGAAGATGATAGCAGAAACCATAGGAGGAGTTATATGCTTATCACACAGTAAAGATTCAGTTCTAAGTGGAAAGCCAGCAAAGATATTCCAGATAAGTCAAGAGTAGACTTGGAAAAAAATTTGCAAACAAAGTATTCTGCTTTATCAACAGAAGGTGATAACATAATAAAGTGGGTGAAGAGAGAGAAATGATTGAATACCTTACCATTATTTAATATACTATTACAGAGCTACTAGTAGCCATGAGAACCAAACTTTTGAGAGGCTATACAGTGCCTTATTCTATAAGCAAAACTTAGCCTCATTGAGAACATGTTTGCACTTACTATGAGCAGACACAAAGAGGTGTCTGTTGTAATCAGAACAATCATACTGGTATCACTGGAAAAAGTGATTCCTGTTGGCTATAGTGGCTAAAGAGGCAGGTGGTGAAACAAAAAGATTGTGGTTTCACTTGGTATTAACAAGATAGCACAAAAGCATTAATGCCAACTTTCTGACAAAAAGAAACCTCAGTGGAATATTTTTCAATAGGGAGATTAAAGATTTCACACCTGGTGACATTCTTGCAAAGAAAATAACAAAATGAATCCCAATCAGTATACAAGTAAGAAAAAGAAGTCTTGTGAATAGGAGGTTACTGTCTGATAATCAAGTCAAAAGAAATATCTACAGACACTACAATATGATCCAAATTGCCAAGAGGATGGAGTTGTGATGCTTGACAAGGGCTAGGAAAGGAGGTAAGGAACATTGAATCAAGTTGGTCAGAATTATTAGGGAAATGTGTAGGAAAATATGCTATTTGACTGAGAGACTGAAAAATTAGGTCTGAATTACATCAGTAGTATTTGAATGGTTAAGCCATTTGATATGATGAGCATTAAAATTACCAAACTCAAATATGCTTGTAGATGAATGTAGAGAAAGAAAGCCTTTACTATATTATCTGGTATTTTGCCTAACATGCTAGAGTCCTGAAAAGAAAGTGAGTGATAAAGGAAAAGGACATAGCTAACAGTGTAATAATGAAAATCAAAAACACATGAAAGAATCATCTGGGGATGCAAGAGATGATTCCCTTGTCATTGGAAGATTTCCCCAAAATATAAACACCAAGGCCATGAATATGAAAACCAGAGTTCTTGTAAAAATATTTCATGATAAAAAATCTTGTACAGTACTATACTTTAGATACTATGTGTTTCATTCTGGAGTAATCTTAAAGCCATGCTGGGCATAGGGATGTATAGGTACCAGTTATCTGTATTTATTCACCTAACACAAACCATGTTTTTTGTGGTATCATTTGAAGGGTATTCTTTAAATAAATTATTTTTGGAAAAAATGTGTACATAATTTGACAAGAAATATAGTACTTCTTATTTAGTGTAAAAGCATACCTTGCCACTGGTGTCACCAGCACAGATAAATTTATTAGAGGCTCTAAATATTGCACATCCGGGTTCACTAACATCAACCTGAATAAAACAATATAAAATATAAATATTATATCTATATTAAATACACAGACAATATATAAAACAAGTAAAAAAGATATTTAAGAAAAATAGTTATTGATCAAACAAATTTACTGTTAAATACCTCAAGAAAAGGAAAAAAAAAACATAAAAAAAGAACAATCTGAAAGTAACACCTCCTGTTTATTTCTACAGAAATTACAACAGATTCTGAGAGCAAAATAACACCATTAGAGAAAGCAACTTTTCAGATACAAACAATTTTTTTTTTCATATAGTCACCACTATTGACTATTCATTTTCCCCAGTGATGAACAAGAGTTTTATATTTTGTGTGTTGACAGCAGTTGTGCAAGGTCATCTGGAATGCTGCTTGTCAGACACATTGTTGTTACCAATAAAATGCATTATCTGCTGTCTAACCATGCTCACATCCACTAGTTGGTCTCCATAAAAGATCAAAAAGTGTCAATGAATGTCAATGGGTGCAATGTTTTTTCCACATTGAAGAATTCTATTCCACACTTATTCATATACACTTTCATATTAGACACCACCTTATCAGACAGCTGCTACCAGTAACATGGCAAAAAAAAAAAAATGAGTTATTGGTGGGAAGGATCAATCTCTAATGCTATACCACTAATATTTGCTTCTTGTGTGATCCAGTATAATAAAATAGGAGGTATTACTTTCAGAGCAACCCTTATAACGATGGAGTTCCTTCATAAAAATAAGGTAGATAAATGCAATTTATACTTGTGTCCAGGTTATAAAGAGAATGAATCGCAAAAGAAAAACAGACAAAAGAACTTTTAGCCATAACTGGTAAGGTAAAATTCTTAGAGGCAAAAAACAAAAGAATAAACTGTGCTTAAATGTCAAAATAATCACCTTTAGTTTAAAATAGCTGAACTGGTTGCACTTTTTAACCATTTTCCTTACTTTATACAAGTTTTGTAGTTGATAATTTCAAACTAGGAAAAGAAGACTCTTTCTCTAAAGATCACCCACTTTCAAATCAATACTTTCAGCAATCTCTATTGCAGTCCATCTGAATTGTGTATTCTATCAGGAGCCATAACATCAATAAATATAAACTGGGATCTATAAAAGGATACTGTATATGAAACTGTCAGAAATAAAGATAGAATCTTTTAAACTTTTGCATTCTTACAAGTACATATTTTTAAAAATAATATTTATCCATGAAGTAGTAACAACAACAAATAAATAAATCATATTACTACAGAAGGAAAAATAGGAGTGCAGAATTTAGCTTAAATTATCTGAACATGTCATCTCTGATGATGCCAGACTATTGTAATTATCTCCAAGTATAGCTGATCTATGAAATAAAAAACAAGCATTTAGCAGCATTACTATTGGAACAAAGCTTCTTCTTAGTGAGGACATTGTAATATTCAGAGTTTAAGAAACAATATGTGCAGCAGTCATTTCTTCAAGGTCAACAAAGTCACTGGCAATGAAAATCAAGTAAATCTTCACCCACCTACAGTAAGTAAATAGAAAGCAGGTTCCAAATAAGTTTTGTTCAATATCCTTAAAATCTCAATCTTATTTGATTAATGATTGAGAACTTAAAAAAATGATTTGAAAATATGACCATTGTTATCATTATTTAATGACATTCTGATTAAAGAGTACCTGCTCACAAAAAGAGTACACAAGAACTTGCTAATAATGCACATATAGCAAAAATTACAAGTTTCTTACAATAGTTTAAAAATTAATATTGTTTTCTTTGGCTAAAGCTATGAATATAATTCAGATACATTGTCAGGCAGCAACTTTTATTTTCTTTGGGATTGTTAAATACATAGAATACAAAGAATATATTCTTACCATCATCTCCCAGAAGTAGAAATAAAGCTTCTGACCAATCAGAGTTCAGTCACTTAGAAACATAGATTTGTTTCATTTACTCTTTCAACGCAAAATTTCTTTGGAAATGGAAAAAAATAAAAACAAAATACTGAGAAATACTTACAAGTTAAGATACGGATAAATCTCTCATGTCTAATTCTTTAAAGTTAGCTTTTCGTTATAGATAATTTGTAACTTATGAATCATTGAAACTGCAAAATATCATTCAATCTATTAAGAATTTCAGTCACGTCTGTTCATTACAATGTCCAAAAACTATGACAAGTGATACATAGAAATTTCTTGTGTGACTATCATTTTCATGATAGGAGTGAATTACAAAGTATTAAAATGAATCTTACTTGACGTATATGTTGTAACTTGTTAAGATCAATTTCAATGACCTTTGTCTGATGGCCACCCATCAATACAGATTCTGGACTAGTCATAATCATACACTGCATATCTTCCATGTATTCATCACTGAAAAATACAAACAAAATAAAAAGAAATAAATATTTAAATGAAAGTATGAAGACTAAAATAAAATTAAAAAGTTCAGAGCATACAAATAGATAGCCAAATGTTTGATGACATTAGGGAATATAACTGTTCACAAGTAACATACAACAGTGCAGTCATAATCTCTTTTAAAAGTTACAGTAAATTGGAAGAATGGTTAGCAATTTAAGATAAATAACTGACAACTAGAAGTATCATTGGAGTAGCATTTTTGAAACACCAACTCTCTCTCTCTCTCTCTCTCTATATATATATATATATATATATGTATATGATTAATACAAATATAAAATTTGTCATTTAGTGGATTGATGTTATATTCACCACCCTCAATTTGTTTTGTAGACAAACCTTTTTTTGTAATATTCAGTCTACTTGTCAGGAGGTATCAGCAATTGACTGCCAATTTTCTCATATTCGTTATTTTTATATTAAGCTAAAAAATAATTTATGTGCTTTTTATTGGTGTTAGGCTGATTTTTTCTTCTTTGTGTGTCAATGTGTATGCCTGTATGTGTGTATGTGCACATGTGTAGAATGTCATGGTTATTTCTCTTTTTCATAATTTTCTTACTTCCCTACATAAAGATTTGCACTATATATATATATATATATATATATATATATATATATATAGACACACACACACACAATACATACATACATACATACATAGGGAGGATAGGCACAGATTGGAGTTGAAGTATATCTTAAAAATAAATTCCCACATAGAGGGACTAAACACAGATTTGGGTTTACTCAGAGTATAATTTCCACAAGGAAACCTATTATCAGCAACACAACTCCTCGGATGAGTAGGCCCTCCATCTACATTTTAACTCAAAATTTTAACAGCTATCATCCACCTACCTACTGTATTTTTAACAGCCATCTCCTTTCTACTATATTTTTATGTTCTGCCACCGATGATTTACCTCATTATGCACTATTTAGTAATGGAAGTATTGCCATGTATACTGAGGGCTATTTTCCAGTCATACTATAGTTCCTTTACATATAAGCTTATGTAAGAAGTGTGGAAGGTTAGTGTAGATACATATTAATCTTGTAAATGTATTTATATTTTTACATGTATTGTGATTCATGTTTGTGCAGTGGTTTGTGTATATTTGCACACTGTTACATGCACTTATGTACACATGTACATCTATACAGTGGGGGGAAATAAATATTCGTACACATGAAAAATTGTATTTTTATAAATGTAAAAACCTTAACTAAAACAAATTTTGATACATTTTATGTGTAAAGATACATTTTATTAAAAAATAGTAATAAACTTAATTAATTCTTATTCTAACAGAAATTAATGCATTTTTTCATTTTAACTAACAAAAAAAAGAATATTAACTTAATTTAATACTTTGTGGAATATCCTTTATTGAGTTCAACAGCTACCAGTCTATTCCTGTACGTCTCAACTAATGATTTGCACATATTGAGTGGTATTTTGTCCCATTCTTCTTGGCATATTGTCTTCAAATTTTTTATATTTGTTGGTGCTCTTTTCCCAATTTGAATTTTCAAATATCACCATAAATTCTCGATTGGGTTCAAGTCTGGGGACTGACTTGGCCATTGCAAGACATCAAAGTTACTTTCAGCTAACCATTTCCTTGTAGATCTAGCGGTATGCTTAGGATCATTATCCAGTTGGAAAACCCAATCAGGAGGTAGCTGAAGTCTCTCAACAGAACGCATTAAATTGTTTTGCAGGATTTTCTGGTATCTTTCGGCTTTCATCTTGCCATCTATTATTGATATTCTGCCAACACATTTTGCAGAAAAACAGCCCCAGATCATGATACTGCCACCATCAAACTTTACAGTTGGCAACTTGTTCTTTGGTAAGTAGGCTTCACCATCCTTCCTCCACACATGATTTCAATAATTATGACCAAACAACTCTATTTTAGTTTCATCTCTCTATAGTACTTTTTCCCAAAATGAATATTCTTTATCCTTATGCTCTCTAACGAATTTTAGCCTAGCATCTCTGTGTCGTTTCAAGAGGAGTGGAGTCTTCCTTGGGACGCGTGATTTCAGACTGTTTTTGTGTAGTTCATTATTTATTGTACACTTGGTTACTTTAATCCCTAATGCACGCAGATATTCCTGCAGCTCTTCTCGGGTAACCTGTGGATTTTGTTGGATCTGGCGTCCTAATATCCTTGCTGATCTTAGAGAAATCTTCCTCGGAGCACCTGTTTGTCTTTGGTTTTCGACGTTGTTACGAGTTTTAAACCTTGCAATGAATGAAGCAATTGTAGTAAAAGGAATATTCAGGTTGTTAGAAATCGTTCTGTAACTGTTCCCATCTTTCAAAAGAGACAAAATGTGTTATTTTGGTGAAATAGTCAATTCTTTACCTTTAGGCATTATTAGAACCTTCTCGTAAGACTAGAAATTGCAGAATGCTCTGATAATGGCTAATAGCATTAACTATAATTACTGGAACATTCTAGAATATACTTTTTTCATAATTAATTGATTATTTTATTCTAATAATTGATTTGTACGAATACTTTTTTCACCAGTTAGAATTAAAAAAATGCATTAATTTCTGTTAGAATAAGAATTAAGTTTATTATTATTTTTTAATAGTATGTGTATTTATACATAAAATGTGCCAAGATTTGTTTTATTTAAGGCTTTTACATTTATAAAAATACAATTTTTCAAGTGTACGAATATTTATTTCCCCCCCACTGCATATGTATGCTTTTCCAAAACAGATTTCCAAACTTTTATCCATTTTATTGTTCCTTCCCTTTTTTCATTTTATTTTATTTAATAATATTTTATTACTATATATTCTATTTTTCCTTCTCATTTTTTTTCTCATCACATGTTATTCTAACAGCCAGTCTTTCTGAAATTGACAACTGACTACACACGAGATGTCTTTCTCCCTCTGCAACCTATACCTCACTTCATCTGTTTACAACCTTACTCTCCCTACTACTAATAATAATAGGCCTAACACTTTTACACTGATCAAAATTTTAAATTTAAGTTTATTTTCACATAGTGAGGAATCAGCCACAGACTGGGTTTTTGCTAATAATATGATTTCCACCAGAAAATACACCATCTGCAAAAACATCTGTCGGTGAGTATTCTCTGTTTTATTTCTTGCTCTGTTGATGAAGGACACAGGCGTGTCTAAAAATTCTGAACTTGAAACTTTTCTTTCCGTGCTTCATTTCTGTCATATGGTTAATAATTAATAACTAATAAATGTTTATCATACCGATTATATTGGTACCCTTTCGTTTGTTTTATTAACCATATATATATATATATATATATAATATAAATAAACTGAGTGCAGTCCTTGGCAGAATGCTAGATTTTCAAAAAGAATGAACATATTTTAGAATATATTGACTAAAGAGGATCAGAATGAAGGTTATCAGAGGAAAAACATAAAACTTGATCATAACTAGAGATAGCTGCAATTATTGGCATATAACAAGATAAATAAAATATTATAATGAAATGCCACTGTAACAATTACAAAAAAGAACAATGCTTCAGATATTAAAGACTAAACTTCATGAAAAATTGATTTACACTTAATCTATTTAAAAGATAATATTCCTATTTATTACTTTCTAAATTATCTTGCAAATATTTTGCTCTTATTTCAATGATTAATAAAACAAGTGTTTGTAATATTTCGTTTAATGCATCATTAGTGATATCTGAAATAGGTAAAAAATAAAATAGATGCATAATGCTAAATTGACTTTTACCATCATAATTATTTATACTGAATGAATTGGTGGAAATTCTACAGGCATTGACAACTAAGATTATCTATTATTACCTCTCATGTCTCTGCTCTTTTATCCATCTTTGCCTGTATCTTCTCATTCTTTTATCACTCCCAGTTTTCATTGCCTGTCTCTAGGTTTTAACTAAATGGGTTAATTTCATATGCGAAATAAGGAATATATAAATGTTTTATACTACAGTCTCTTCTTTATCTTTCTTTTGCTCTATCCTTCTATAAAGAATTTTAATAGGCTGAAAATTGTGTTTTTATTCCTACTTGCTTTTCAATCTTTTGCTCATTGCTTCTTGATAGCCAATTTGCAAGACAGCTTATATATAAATAGTGTTGTGGCTGTGGAGTCAGATTCAAATTCTAGTTATGATCCATATCTGTTATATATCTTTTGCATGTCTAGTTATATACAATTGAAAAAAAAGATCACTTTTATCTATAATAATGGCTAGATAAGTCATTTTGAATAAATTTCTAAAATAATACAGCTCTCCCAAAATAAAGTGCATTTGACATAAAATAAGCAATCTTTTAAGGCTGGAAGCACCCAAGTGTGTCTGAAAATTTCACATGCTTATAGTCCAGCAGTGCCTGAATGCACCCACAATTGGGTAGCATTGTATTTCAATACACAGCATTAACACCAGCCACAAGATGCACTAGATGCTTTGCAAATCTACAACTTTATGATTGTTGTAGATTTCCAAAAACATATCTCATAACCAGTAGTATCAAAAGGGATAATGGAATACTTTGAAATATATTTTATATACTATAGGTTAAACTTTATTTAAAGATCACTAAGAAGGTTTGTATTCTTTTGACAATAATTTATTCAGTACGATCTAAAAGTATAACAATCAAGTAAATTTTTACTATACATATTGAAGGATGGTAATGATATGGTTTGCTAAAATGTGAAATGCATATTTAATCTGAAAATGTATTTTTTAAAAAATAAAGTCTTCAATACATACAAATTAAAATTATGTATTTATTGCTTAAAGTAAGAATTCAAAAGTAATGTTGAACAGCAAGTAAAATAAAGTTACTTACTTGTAATCAAATTGTTTAAGTCCTCGTCTTATAGAACATCGAAGATTATTTCTGGTCAGAAACAAACAGCCATTATCAATAGTGAGAATTTGGCGTATTTCATCTGTTGAATGTACTTGAAAGGATGTATATTTTTCTAAAGCTGGACCATAATAAGATGTAACATGGCCCTTTTAAAACAAGAGAAAAGATAAAGAATGAATCAACAGTTGATTATAACTACCAAATTTAAAGCCTTCAATAGTTTAGAAATGATAATTCACTATTAAAAACTAAATTTGTGATTTATAAAATTAGATTCAGTAATAATGAAACAAAAAATGTTCTTACTGCTGCTAAAAAATTAAGCATTTTAAATTGTTTACATATTAAATTAATTTGGTTATGTAAATGTGTTTTATTCTAAAAGTTATTCAATTTTGCAGTTTCATTCTATTTTGATCAGCGAATGCCTTCAGTACTTTCTTCCATTACATAATTCATCTAGTTGGACCTTTTACTATTATAGATGTTTCTAGATCTGGTCATCATTTTCTTGTATGCAATGGTAATTGACAGTATTTATTATGCATATCCAGACGCAAACTTCAACACATGATCTGCTTTCATATGGGTAATTAGCAAAAGAATACCAGAGTCCTAGTTGTACGGTGTACTCCTTAGTCTAGTCCTCTTAGTGCACTAGGGATGTGCTGTCCATGGCATGGATCCCTGGTACTAAGTCAAAACTATTTGAAAAATTATTATACACCTGAGGCAGCAGTAATTTATGCCACACGTTTGAGGAAAATCAACACATATTTATTTTCTCAGTTACAGAGAAAGGAGTTGATTCCTATAAATTATATTTAAAGAACATAAAAAAGTCATAATCTGGAGTGATTTCAAAGGGATCACTGTGTCTTCTTTGGCTGGGTGTGAATGAACATGTATGAAAAGTAAAGAAGACACAGTGATCCCTTTGAAAAATAGGGAATTTCACTGTAAAGAATTTGTGTACATGATTCTGATAAACAGTTATACAAGCAAAGCCAGTATATAGTTCAATATTATGCAAATGGATATGCTTAGTAATGCAAAAAAGTTACTATAAATCTTACCTACAAATGTAAAAATGGTATCATCAGAGTTCCACTAATATACTGAAAAGAAAAAAAGTACTACTCTGTACATGTAGGAGCCATTTTTCAATTTGGCTCATAAATTATGGCTACATGCAAGAATCTGATGCCTGAAACATTTTGTGTGTGTGTATATATATATATATATATATATATACACACACACACACACACATACATACATACATACATACATACATACATACACAGAATTAATTACATATTTGAGAAAAGTGAAGAAACAATTCTTTGGCTAAAATGTAGTAATAAAAACAGCAAGGATGAGAAATATTAGTCTGAATACATTATGGAATAATTGCAAAGTCTCAAAATTTCAAACAATTACACATTACTTACACCCTGATTTCCCATCCATAAAAGTTCTTGTAATGCATCAAAACACAAAGTTGACACCCCAAACTGATGTCCACCATCAGCAAGAGTACTATGTGTTTCAGTATATTGAACATCGCCAGCTGAATTATGCTCAGGCTGAAACATGTTCTCGGAGAACTGAGTACCAATTAATGATGATTCAACTGGCATTACAGGTCCAGGAATTGGACTATCAGAAAAGTTGACTGGTACTCCAGTGAACTCCATGGAATAGGCTACATGTAAAGAAACTGGAAAAAATAATGAACATGTGAATTTATAAAAGTATTTTCTGACATACTGCATAAAAATGACAAAATATATCATTCAAAGATACATTCAACAGTTTTTATACAAAGGAAGTGCTGAAAAGTTCTCAGCAAAACCAAGAAGGGATTCCAAAATGAATTCTGTTATTTAGTCATTTGGCCAGATTTGTAGAAGTGGGATGAGCTAAGACAGTATGCCTGTGTATATAAAATGAATACTTTGAAATTGAAAACATTGAATAAATAAAAAAATTAGTTTCAATGTTAAAAAATAAACCAGAAAAAAAAAATGTTAAAAAATGAAACCACAAATCAGCATTTTTGATATTTGTAAGAAGTAATTTTTTAAAAGAATGCAACTGTGAAGGTCACCCAGTACAGTGCAGAGACATGTTTCCTATAAACATTTATGAACAATAATTATTGTGAATGAGAATGCAAACAGCAGGCAAGTTGAGAGTTTGCATTCTTGAGTTACAATAAAGCTGTGTTTTAATGATTCATTGATTTTCAGTTTCATCTGAAATGACAGACTTAACAAGCAAAAAGGTGCATCAAAATTTTACTTTAATCTACATAACAAAACTACTGCAGAAACCCACTAAATGTTTAAAGAAATATTTGGTGATAATCTTCTAAGTCAGGACAAAATCTTTCATGGATGTAAATGTTTCAAAGCTTTTTCTGATAACAATTAACATTGAGAGATTGTAGGATTATGGAGCTATTCAACACATTATGGCAGGCATTTTGAACATGAGACGCATTGCTGCAAAATTTGTGCTAAGTAATGATCAGGAACAACATTATGTTGCTATCTGTAGAGAACTCAAAAATTAAACCAGACATGAACTGAACTTCATTACCAAAAAAATCATAAATGCTGAGGAATCATGGGTATTGGGTCACACAAAGAAAACTGTAATTGTCACAAGGAAAGTCGTCAAAAAAATCACTGGGACCAAAACAAATGCATCAAGTTTTTTACAGTAATGTCAAATCTATATAATAAGCATTTTATTTTTATGATATACAAAGTATTGTTCACTAGAAAGAAATTCATCTTTTCTGATAAAACTTTCATTGTGAGAATTTGAAGAGGTTAAATAAAAAGAATAAATTCGAGAAAAAAATTTGTTTCAATTCAGATTAAACTTTAAATCAGATAATTTTCTTCAAATAACGTTTCAGAAAATATTTTGTTTTTAATTTTCCTATTAATTATTTTTGTTGACATGGACGAATTTTATCAATTTTATTAATTAATAAATTTAAATAGAAAAAAAAAAGATTTCAACCAATTTAAAATCGGTTTAAAAGACACCAAGGAATTTTGCTTATTAGGAATATTAAATGAAATTTTAACGGTTAAAATTTAATTTAATATTCCTAATAAGCAAAATTCTATTGCCTTGCTAAAACTAAAATCAAAGCTCCAAGAAATATTTTTAATTTTTTTAAATTTATTTTTTAAAGTACCACTTTTTTCATTTTATTTTTTTTTTTACTGAGATACCTTTCTTTTGTTAGGATTCTTGTCCTGTTTCAAACGTCTGCCTTCGTACCATTAACAAAAATGATTTATATTCCACTATATTTTTAAACTAACAATTTACTTAATAGTGAACATTTTTCAATCATTTTAAATTTTAAAATTTAAAAATTAACAGTTAAAAAATAACAGAACAGATGCTGGTCAATTTAAAGTTTAAAAATTCAGTTTTACTTCTTAATGATTATTATTGAATCCATTTTTCAGGTTCATCTGTTTATTGAATTCACATTATAAAACATAAACATCATTTTTTAAAATATCAGCAATTAAAATAACAAAAACACTTGAAGATGTCATTGTCAAATGTACACATGTCACAAGGCTTCCTCCAGTTCACGATTATATTTACTAATCTACGTAAATTAAGACATTAATTATATGGTAAAACTCATAAATCAGTGACTTACAAAAGACTTAAGTATAAATCCTCAGAGAAATAAATACATTCAGCCCAGGTTTTCATAAATTTTGACATTAACAAATAATCACATTCGGCGCCATTTGCAGCAAACGAATTTTTAGTCTTAATGACAGAAGAATAACTTTGTACTAAGAGTTACGCCCCTTGCCCACGTTGCTGTCACGTCCAAGCATGCAAATTATTAAAACAAAATAAAAAGTAACATCGGAAAACATTCTCGTTGATATTTAAAATTTATCTAAAGTTAATACCGAACCCTTTTTCTTAAATGTTTCTTAATCGCATAACATAATATCGAAATAATAATAAAACCAACTGCAGTTTCTTGTTAATAGAAATGTTTTTAGCGGAAGTTACTTTTTGGTCTATGTTGTCTGGTAAATGTGGATTTTTTCGGAAATAGCTTTCTAGAATTGAACAGAACATGGAAAGGTGCTGTCAAATACAAAAAAATATTTCATATTTTACAAGACAGCTTGTACTAAATTATGCAAAGTGGTGCAGAAAAGTCCTCGGACCAAATGAAAGAACTTAGCCAACCAAAGAACTTTTCAACACTTTTTTTCGCGTATCAACACAGGGGAACACGTATTTTATTGAATGATATCTAACGTTCGATTCCAGGTAATTTACGTGTGCTGAATACGAATTGCAGATAGGTCCTTATGCTTAAATCAGTGCTTTGATGATCAATCTGCTGTTCAACGTACAAAAGTGTTCGATTTTACAGTTCAAATGTTAGTGTGTGTATACGAGTGTTATGTGAAATATTCTTAAGTTGTACAAAGTTGCATACCTTGAACTGTTAATTGTTAAAAGTTTTGTTTGTTACTGTTACTAATATTTAGTGAATATATATTTCACTTTCTCAAGTAAAGTAAATGAATTTTCGAGAAGTTTGTTTAAAAGAGAGATTGAGTATGCCAAAAAAAGGTTGTTGAGCCAGAGGTTAATTCACGCGGGAAAATCAAAGTTTAAACTGGCGTGGAATTGGTTGACATCTCTCTGAGTGTGGAATTCTGACTGGTAAGTTGGTTCGAATTTCTTTCTTTTATAGGTTCTGGAAAGGAAAAATAGGTTCAAACACATTTGAGCGCCAAAGGCATTTTTCACGTGCATACTTAGTTTTTTTTTTTAAGGCTGTTAGCCAATGAAATTGAGTTTGTCAGAACTAGTGTTTTTGATTGGATAACAGGTTTTCTAGGATGTAATTGATTGTTCTGCAAAGAGGTGAAAAGGTAACGTGGATTATTCCACATATTTGCTTGTTGATGGCAAGTTTCTTCTCAAGCGCCAGCAGTAGTGTAACGTACGTACCAAATATAGCGTCAGGTCGACTCACTAAATCTAGCAGGAACACCAAGGTACTACTAAAACTACTATTTATATTAATGATTCTTCCACGTACAGGATTCAAGAAATAATAACAACAACTCCAATTTGTAAACCAACAAATATATATTGAATAAAATACAACAACAAACATGAAATAAAATCGTATTCACAATGTAGATTAAAGAGAAGGAAGTTCTTTCCCTTTGACTGTAGATTGATTGTGATCAACCGTTTGAAGAAAGTTCTTGTAGTGAACGAGATAATCAAGTACCCCGGAAAAAAGTTCGTGTTTTGTGTGCGATCTGCCGGGGAGGGATTGCCAAAGAGTAGTCAGCAAAACTCTTATAGCGACTCCTGCGACGGACTTGTTTCTTTTTTCGTCACAGAATACACGCGACGCGCTGTCGCTTGGGTTGACGAGGTAAGTCAATGCCGAAATAGCTTGAAGAGTAAGCGTTCTCAGAACAAATTTGTGGCTTTCACAACACAAAGGAAGGAAAATTCGGGCAGTTTTGGCTACGGCGTTCGTGAGTTATTTTCCTGACGCGTTACAAGTGATTTTCTTTCTTAGTGTTGTGAAAGCCACAAATTTGTTCTGAGAACGCCTCTTCAATTCTCTTAATGAGATAAATGTTCCTTCTATAATTGTTAAACAGCAAAGTTTGCATGTGAATAATTTATAACACCAAGAATACAATTGCTTGAAATGTGTTGTGAATAAACTGGTGTGAATCAACAAAGTTCTGGTTGATTGTGCTTGGAGAAAGTTACAGAGAGAAAATGTAAGTTTGTAGTTACGAAATTCTGTGACTGTGTGTGCGTTAGAGTGTGATGAGCAAGATCGCGGATTTGTGTTGACGGCTTGGATCTTACGAGAGACTTGCGAAAAGTCGCCCTATTTAAGTAAAAAATTGCTGCTCCCACGGAACCGCGGGGAAACTTGGTCTTACATTAAAAATATGTGATTTGTTAAAATTAACAATCACTACACACGTCACTAAACAAAATAAGTAAAATATATCAGAACCAAAGATTCAAAGGAAGACTGCAATGGCTAAATTGTCTTATACAAAGGTAGTAGTAATTTATTAGCCAATCGCAGGCAGATAAAATAACAAGAAGTGTAACTAATAATGAAAAACATAGCAACCGCTATAATAGGCCATCATATGGGAATCCCAGCGGCCTTTGTACCGTTCCTTCATAATTTTGATATCTTTGTGGAATCTCTCCCCTTGTTTGTCATTTGCATCGCCTAAATTACTTGGAAACTGGTCAAGATGGTTATTCAAAAAATGCATTTTTTACGCTCATATTGCAACCTTAGTCCCTTACAAATTTTTAACGATTTCTTCAACAAGTTACCTCTGTTGCCTTCTTAAAATTGCCTAAAAAGTTTTCTATCAAGTCTGTGCAAACAGCATCTAAAAGTGTATCACTACGAGATTTTGTTAAAATCTGTGCAAAAGCCATCTAAAAGAGGATCACAGCGATATTCTTGTACAAAACCATCTCCACGCATATTTTCCAAGAATCCACTTGCTGATTGGTTCATAAACAAGCAAGTGGGCGTCACCATCCACCCACGCAAATCTATTTTTCATCTCGTGATCGGGTTAAATAAATTCAGCAAGCAAACTCCTCGCTAGTGAGCATCGGGACCACAAAGCAGTTGCGAAACTATTCGGAGTCACCATGTGCTTCTCGTGTGTCGTATTCATTCTGCCGGTGGAAATGTACGCTTGAGCATTTTTGCGTGCTAACTCCAGACTACGAGCTTGGTTTAAGGCTTCATTGAAGGTAAGGTTCCCGTTCTCCAGAAGTGATTGTCGAGTGATGGGATCCGCCTATAAAGGCGTGAACTGGTTAGTATAATGGTTAGTTCTTTGTCCTCAGTCGCGGTAACCTGTTAAAAATTGCAGTCCTTAGTGAGACTCTGTATGTTCTCAACTATATAGAATATAAACGCCTATATTTCATGGCCAATAAGTGAAGCACAAACAAGTAAGAGACGCTTACAAATAAATCTTACTAAATTCAGTAGATACGAAAAACTTTTTTACAATTTTGTACAAACACGGCTCCATATTAAATAAGTGGTTCCTGGAGCCTGATTGGATATGGCAAGTCACGTGATGTACTCTCTACAACGTCCGTGCGGTTGAACTCCAAATGACCTGGAAATGGGTCAGGGCTCAAAACATTTTAACCAATCAAACATTTTAATACTAAATTAATTTTTACCGCGTTTTCGCTCGGAGCCTACCAGTATCTTTAAAAGAAGCAATTTTTCCATAAGCCGCCAGTAGAGTCCAGCTATTTCGCCTGTCCACACAAATCTACGACTTTACTCACAATATTTCAAACGCACACACAGACACAGATTTTGTAACACATTATACATAGCTCTCTCCGTGACTCAGCCAAGTTCATGAACCAGAACTCTATTAATTTCTCTAAACAACACATTTCTTAATTAACTGTATTCTATTCTAACAGCAAACTCTATTCAACATCAGATCCTGGACATTCTTATTCAAGAGAAACTCCGTCGAACATTGAATCAAAATCAGAATACAGTTGAAGACTGCTTTTTCCCTTAATCATTACACTTCATTTTGTTTTGTATGTTAGACTGGATTATATACTTGTTTGTTGATCTCCATAGAGATTCATTGTTTTTTTTTTATCGTTAAATGTACCCTCTCTCTATTGCGCTTTTCGCCGGATGCATTGTGATATCAGACCCTGTATCTTTTTTTATTTTTATTTTAAATTTTTATTCTCCCTGTTACCTCTGTTCTGATGTTATCTTCTTATATAAAATTCGTCAATAAGTTTATCCCCCATTGTTGTCTGTATTCTGCAGATATTATTTCTTGTTTTTTTTTTGCCACAATCTAAACTTTTGTGTCCAATTTTCCATATTCCCGCTTTTTTTTGTTCTTAAAAAACAATTACTTTCGAAACGTTCACCTCCACTTGGCCAGTTGAACTATTGAAATAATCTATAATCTTTTTCTTTTAATGGTCTTATTTTTCTCGGTTTGACCGACTGAAGACACCTCAGTTGCGAGAGGAGAGACGCAGGAGGGCGAAGTTCACTGGGGATTGAAGAGGGCGGCAGTGCCGTTTCCAGGATTGATGATCTGCCCTATCGCGCATCATGTTTGATATTGACAATCGTGTTCAACAACTGCTTCTCAGGGTCCGTCCCCGATAAGATTTCCAGAGGGGATGATCACTCTATTGAAAAAAAGTAAAACATCAAACCGTTCATAAGAATTAGACGATTATAGGCCATAAGTATTTTTTCTAAACACAAACTTAAACTCGAACCAAGATCCTGACGGAGCGTATGCAATGCGAGTTGCTCATTATTGGGACCTGGGCAGACTTGTGCTGTAAATCAAGAACAATTCAAAGCAACCTGCATCTGATCCGGCTGTAGAAGGCGACAAAGAGGGGCGTGGATCCCTTTGGGAGACTCCATGGACGCCTTAATGGGCAAACAATTAGTGATAAATATACTGTCCTGCAACCCGCCAGATTCGAAACCGACTCTGCAAGGGATCATCCTTTTTGTAAAAATGCACCCTAGTGTTGTTTTACAGGTGAATTCCGGTGACCGCTGAAGTTTTTTCACTGTCAACAGGTTCATCACAGTTGTCCACTGTCGCCCTTACTTTACGCTTTCTTCGAATGCC